GTAACGACAATAAATAATATCATGTGTTTGCCCAGTTGATGCCATGGATGAAGCAGAGCTCTGTGCAGGCCCAAAAGGTGTGCTCTTGCCAGATAGTGGTGGTTGTGCCTGCTTTCTTGTATCACGGTTCGAGTTGGCGGATGAAGTAGGCGATGCTGCAGTAGGACGTGTGGAAGTAGAGGATGTACGTGGTGTCCATGATGAAGATCGTCTTGCAGAAAAATTAGTTCGCGCCAATGCCTGTCGATCCCGCACTTCACGTTCAGCTTTGTAGGCAAGATGGAATAAACGAGTGATATTATTATACTCCTTATACTCGAGAATGGTTTGAATCTCTTTATTTAATCCACCCATAAAATGTGAAAGCATAGCCTCATTATCCTCAACAATACCACATCTAAATATGCCAGTTTGTAATTCCTGATAATACTCCTCTACAGAATTTTTTCCTTGTCTCAAACGTTGTAGTTTTTGAAGTAATTCACGTTGATAATATAGTGGAACCCAATGAGTGCGTATAGCAGTTTTCAAAGCAGCCCAAGTAGTTGGAATAGGATATAATCTACAATGTTCAGACCACCACACACATGCAAAACTAGTGAAAGCACAAACAGCAGCAGCAACCCATCTCTCCTCGGGATATTGTAAACATGTAAAACGTTGTTCAGTTTCTAACTCCCAAGTAAGATATATATCAGGAACATATCTACCCTCAAATGGTGGAATATTCAATTTCAGTTTAGGAATATGGTCATGATCTCGTACTTGAGGTGGTGGTGCAGGCCTACCATTGCGATTATTTGCATGCGGACGACCTGGTGGTGGTGCTGGTGGTTGCACGTAGTTCTGATTTTGATCAACCTCATCCTCATAATCGCGCACGTAATCGTCCTCCTCCTCCGCAGCAGCATGATCCACAGAAGCATCAACAGCAGTAGCAGCGACACCAGAAGTTTGGCCATGCTCAAGAGAAACACGGCTCGCTCGTCGAAGGGCTGTTTCGTGACGTGGTGGTGGTGGTTGTTGTTCTTGCAATGGTGCAGGAGAGACCGCTGATGGTTGTGGTAGACGTGCGAGTACTTCATCAAACTTGGCATCCAACTTGGCGTCAACTGTCTTCTCAATGTCATCAATCCTCTCCAGTGCCTTTCCAAAGCTAGCCATCACGTCTTCCACCTGTTGACCTAACATTTACTGAAATTTATCATGAAGCTCTTTCTTCGTCATGTTCTCCCACTCAATCTCTTCGGCTTGTGACCCTGCCATGGTTAGCAGCAATAGAAACACACAAGAATATGATCCTACAGACTACTAGAAAGTGGCAGTTTGTCACAAATCCGTCAAGCAAATCTCAAATTCTTACCAGTTCTTACCAAGCGACAGGTGGTGATTGGCAACCGTTGTAGTCAAAAATCTCAAAGCTTGGATAAAGCAATTACCAGGGAGAGTCAAACGCACGACGTAGATGTATGTGGAGCTGAGAAGGCATATAATATGGTAGCAAAAAGGGTCAGTAATAATCAATTCAGAGATACAAAGTTGAATAAACGCTCAACAACGATACTGTGTTGGTCCTAGGCTAGACCGTACTAGAGACGCGAGCCTAGAACACTACCAAAATCACGGCGCGGCACAGAAACAAGGGAAAAGCCCACTCTGGAAAAAAATTCTCTCTTTTTTTGCGCTCCTCTTTTTTTTTGTGAAAAATCACTATAATGCGCGCGTGTCTCAAAACTCTTCCCAAGTCAAATTGACAAGATAGGCATGAAATTGTTTTTGACTATTTTTTTCCGGAAATCAGGGCATCGACGACGAAAAAGTGTAACAAAAAATCACTATGATGGCGAGTGTCTCAAAAGACTCAGAAAAGCCTAAAAACAAGATAGGGAAAAATATTTGCGCATGCCAAAATTTTGGCCTAAAAACTGCCCGAGGGTCTCCAGACTCTTTTTTTTTGAAACCTACTCAGGCAAGGAAACATGAATCGAAAATTAGATGGATCTTGAAAACAAACCTAATATGAAAAGAACTCGGATTGGTGGTGGATATATGGTGGTAGGATATGACAGCGTTGGTGGGATATGGCAACGGTGGTGGTATATGGTAGCGGTGGTGGGATATGGCAGTGGTGGTGGTATATGGCAGCAACGATGAAGATGGTGCGGCAGCGGCGTGACAAACTCTGATAGAACTTGAAACTCTCAAGGACTAGACGCTAAGACCAGCAACTAGACATGACGGTGCAACCACAAATTCAACAAATCAAACCCCAAAAAAGATTATGCAAAGGCTCAGATTGGTTCGGATATGATGAACTAACCCTAATTTTTTTTGGCTTTTTCGTGCACTATAGGTATGAAGAACAGACTCGATCTAAACTACGAAAAACTGGAAAATCTCACCGAGCAACCTGTAAATTTGATACCACTTGATACAGGCGAGGTGTCCTGATCTTTTCATGAGATGATAACTATCGATTTGGTGGAGACGACTTTGACGAACCTACTACAGATGTGCACGATGTTGCGCCTTAGCAATCGCTAAACCAATCTGCGGAGGTTACTGACGATGCCGGAAGCACGATCAGCCCGACCACGAAGGTCTATTCCTGCATGCAATTGAAGAACAAGCAAGAATATGATAATGCAATCTGAATATTGCAAATATATATGAAGTGTTGATAAAAGTGGGGTTCTAAAGGCGGTCTTGGTCTGGTTGTTGGACACAAACGAAGTACACAAAGTTGCAACAGTGGCTAACTTTTAACTAATTAAAACTCAAAGTCTAAACGACGCCCTAAGGCTGTATATATTGAGGAAAAGGGGGAATTTCGTGGCCCTTGGAGGAGGGGTCCGAAAGCAACCCTAACTCTTATTTCCCCACACATACGGACTCTAAAAACAGCCTATACTTAAGTATTTCGAAATTACATGGGCCTGACCCAATAATAATGTGACACGGCACCTAGAATAGCCTCTGGACGAAATTTATGAAGTGGCATCTTGTATATTTCGTCCAAGACTTCATGCACTCCTTATGGTGGCTTCAAAGTCCTGAAATCATCACTTGTAACTCCGTTCTTGTTCCCCTTGCGCATGCCATCATCTCCATGCTTGGTCTTGCTCCAGTGTTCATCCCTCTTATCCATGCCAGGCCCTTCATTTGTAAGCAAAACAAATGTATTCAATTTAGGTAGCATCATATTCTCATGAACATTAGAATCATTACCAAGAAACGGAAGTACCTGATAATTTAATCGGCGTGTGCGAGCTCTAGTAATTGGTCCAATATATGTAGCAGTAGGGGTTGTGGGTGTAACAATGGTATTGATGTCCTCATCACCATGGCAAGTAATTTCCGATTTAAGAGTTAATTGTAAAAATGCAGAGTTTGAAGTGTTGAGGAACAATTTTTAAAATAAAAATATATAAGGAATTAGCATTATATTCATTGCAATTTCTTGGAATAAACGCTATTTCACACAACTTTTAAGAAAACTATTTAAACCCAATGCCTGGTAGCAGACCCCAAAATTAACAGTTCAGATAATGTAGTAAACCAAAATATATTCAGATTTAAGTCCATGAAGATGAAGACTAAGGGTTGGTGTGAACTGCACACGTACGCGACTGGGAAGCGAGGGTGGGTGGAGGACTGGAGGTGTGAAGAAAGAGAGCGCAAAGGTGCTAGGGTTGGTGGGGGTGAGGTTGGTGGAATGCTGATAGCAGAAGTTAGATATCTGAGTTGTACCGTTAGACATTTGAGGCAGCGAAAAAGACCGTCATCCAACACATTAACGTACGCGACTTGTGCGTCCGCTCGCGTAGTCCACATAGGCAAAGGGACACTGTGCATCGCATCCAATGGAACGAACGAAGGTCTTACACTATCAACGTCGAGAGAGAGAGAGAGAGAAGGGGAAAGGGCATGGATTCGATAGAGACCTTTTTCATCTCCCACACACAACCTCCTCTTTGATTTTGTCTTCCCACTTCCCAAGCTAGGGTTCAGGCCACCGCCGCCGGCGTCCCATCGCTTCTCCGGTGCTGGCCACAGAAGGAAGGCCAGCTTCTCCACATATCTTCTCCTCTTGGTGACTCCCTCATAGTAGTAAGGTGTGCCGCTGCTCTCCGCCATGGCCCCGACGACAAGGCGGTGATAAGAGTTAGAAGACGGGCGAAGCTGCGGAAGGCTCGAGGTGGTTGTGGCGGCGATCTTTTGAGCAGCGTCGCCCGACGAGCTCCACATGCGGGAAGGCATCTCCACGGACGTGCGCCGCCACGTCCCTGCGCCGACGTCGGCCTTGCGGCAAAAGAGGGTTACCCCGCCCACGCAACCGGTCAAGTTGCATCTGGAGGCGAGGAGGGGCAGCAGCCGCACCTGGAGAAGGTCGTCCCCGGCACCCGCAGCCTCGTCGTCGACCTTGCCCACACCTTACTACTACGAGGGTGCCATCAAGAGGAAAAGACATGTGGAGAAGCCTACCTTCCTTTTGTGGCCAGCGTCGGAGGAGCGATGGGACGACACCGGCGGCAGCCTGAACCATAGCTTGGGAAGTGGGAAGACAAAAATCAAAGAGAAGGTTGTGTGTGGAAGATGAAAAAGGTTCCTATCGAATCCACGCCATTTCCCCTTTTCTCTCTTTTGACGTTGATAGCATAAGACCTCCGTTCGTTTCATTGGCTGCGATGCATAGTGTCCCTCTGCCTATATGGACTGCGCAAGCGGACGCACAAATCGCATACGTTAATGTATTGGATGACGGTCTTTTTCGCTGCCTCAAATGTCTAACGGCACAATTCGGATATCTAACTTCTGCTGCCAGCATTCCACCAACCTCACCCCCACCAACCCTAGGACCTTTGTGCTATCTTTCTTCACACCTCCAGTCCTCCACCCACCCTCGCTTCCCAGTCGCGTACGTGTGCAGTTCACACCAACCCCCACACTGATCGCCCGCATCTGCATCGGGAGCGTGAAGGAAGAAAAAATAGGAGGACATGACGCTGCTGTGTGTGCCGCTGGTGGGGCGGACGGTCGAGGGGATGAAGATCGACGCGGCGGCCGCAGCGGCCGCAGGGGGCGACCTTGTCGAGATCCGACTGGACTACATCGAGGGGTTCCGCCCGCGGGAGGACCTTCCACGTCTGCTCCACAGCTGCCCACTCCCCGTCCTTGTCACCTACCGGTTCGATCTCCTCTTCGCCTGCTTCTCGATCCCCGGTTTGGTTGTTCTGAAATTTCGCGTCCGTGTTGCAATATTCGGAACGGGCGTGCAGATACTTGCGAATAATCAAATTCGGAACGGGCGCGCAGATGCTGCTCACCGGCCTGGAGTGTTCCCTTGCTTGCTTTTGTGCATCCTAGCTTTTGTGTTGTTTTAGTTTTTTTTTAACACCTCACCATATATTAGTTAGCAAAAAAATATTCACACAACGGAAATTGCTAATTGAGCTGGAGCTCCATGGAGCCCTTGGTTTGAAAAATTCAAAAAACAATTTTTTAGGTTTTGAAAAATTCTGAAAAACACACACATACATATGGATGTATACTACTCCCTAGTGTCAAAAAACGTCTTATATTTTAATACGGAGGGAGTACTTGTCTGCAAAGTTTCATGGTGAAATACTTTTTTGAGCGAGGTACACAAAAATGACAAAACCACGTATTTCTAGCACATGACTATAAAAGCACATGATTTTTTTTTGGTACAGCTCAAATCAAAACGTATTTGGTGATGAAATTTCACACGCATCTAATATAGCTATCTAAGTACTTGTGTATTTGTTTTCAGTTTTTTTTTGAAACTTAAAAAGTTGATTTTTGAAAATTTTGGGCTCAATCTCGCACATGAGGGAACGTCACCAAGCACCGTATGCAGCACCTTATTAGGGTCCCTCCTAATCAGTTTCGATGCAAGAACCAAAACCTTGTGATCTCAAGCTTTCCTGACAGAAAATTTTCTAGACACATTAAATAGAAAAATAAATAAAAGATTATACTTTATTACAAACACATTTATGGTAGAAGTCCTTTATGAACATGCACTTTTTGATACTCTCTCCATTCCACAATATAGTGTGCCCGCGCTTTTCAAGATTCAAGTTTGACCGTAAATTTAACCAACGACACTGACTGCGGCAGGAGCAAAAACTATATCACTGAATTCGTATTTTCGATGTGAATTTAGTGATATAATTTTTGCCCCCGCCGCAATCGGTCTCGTTGGTTAAATTTACAGTCAAACTTGGATCTTGGGAAACGCGGATGCACTATATTGTGTAATGGAGGGAGTACTAGCAAAAGGGTCCGTTGCAACAGGTACAAAATAAATAAATTTTAATAAAATAGTTAGCACCTTCCTTCATCATTGCTTGTGAGTCATATGCATTGAGATTAATTATGAAAAGAAGCCTAATTATTCTAGTTCTAGTGGTGGTAAAATTATGGCATTGACAAGAATATGAAGCACCATATGAAAGGTATCAAAAAAGCAGGATGCCAGCGGAAATGCGAAGATCAAACAATTTCATATGTCCAGCTAGCTTGCTAAATCATTTTATACAAGGAGGCTGTGAATAACTGGTCAGGTTAATTAGTTAAATAGTTAACAACAAACAGTAGTTTGTTCTTGTTTGTAAAAATTACAGGATGCTAATGCTTGCCATAGAGCTGATGATGATTTAACGTTAGATCTCAACATACACATAAAACTAAGTATCAACTGCAAATGATTGCATTGAAACAGCAGAACAGGCCCCAAATGTTGCCGATCTGCTCCGACGAGCTGTGGTTATAGAACGAACTAATGCTGGTGGTCAGTGAGGCATGGGTAGCACCAGTTGGATCATTCCTGCAGAGCTTCAAGCATGGCAAGAACACTACGTACCTGATGCAACACTTGCTTGTAGTGGCCATGGACAAGAAAGAAAGTTCATGAGTAACTTTGGGTCTTTGGTGTCATTCAGAATGAAACAACATAGAAGTCAACACTATTTTGAACACCAAACTTGATATCTTACCATCCTTCTCTGTTGGAGCAGGACCATGTCAGGAATTTACGCACAACTATGTGGCACTTGAAGATGATAGGGAAGAAACTAACAAGCCTGTTATAGATGGCACAGTTGCGCTCTTTCCCCGCACATGTAGTGCTTTGCCAAAACAGTTTAAACAACGAGTATGTAGGTACACACGGACTGTGGGATCCCCCCAAAGTCAATCTGTTCACCTAATAAGTGGATGATTATGATACTAAATTCAAAAGCATACTGCCAAGTTGGTACAGTTTGACTGAATTAAAATACAAATTCATGCAAGACGCGAATTACCTGATACAAAAACCACAAAAATAATAATCAAGGATCAACTGTGGACCAATTATGACCCGAGGCAGATCTGACCCTGGGAAAGAAAATTTGAAGGGCCTTGGATGTCACTGACTAATCTCATGAAGAACTATTACATTTGCGGTCATATCATATATCGATCAAACATCATTATTTAGAAATGACATATTTCGCAAGAAAAATTCTAATTAAGCATCTAATTGTGCCCTTAAATTTGAAATCACTAATAGTAAGAAGACATGTGCTGAAGTAACAATTGTACGCTATCTAGCTTTCGCTCCCTGTGGCAATGGCCCCATGACAGGAATCAGGAAAACTACACACAAAAAATCAACTAATGCTTTTGAGAAAATTCATCAAACAACTAACTCCCAGTTGTTGTGCCACCACTGCATCATAAGAGCAGTTCATTTTGTGTACATCATAGAGCATCTACACAGAACATAATTCATGTACATCATACAGAGGCCAATAAACTATTGAGTTTAAACTGATGGGAAAGACAAAGCTTGAACTTGGTAAATTTAAGGGAGACGACTGTAGTTGCAGCTGGATCGCGATGAACACAGTGAACACACACGAGATTTTGCTTAGCGCACTGACTTGCTGCTTTTCTGTATTTCTCCGCTATTTATTCAGAGTACAAAGAAGTGGCGCTAGTCCCCCGGCTACTGTGGCCTTGACCCGCTCCTTGCTCTGTGCCATCCCATGACCAGCTCGTCGAGGCCGCTAAATACTCTAACAGAAAGCAAATAAACCGGCTAGGCCGATACATAGCCTACCGGGCGTTATTTCTGAAGAAATGGAACGCTAACAAAGATACTAGGCGAAAACGCTGCCATGGCAGTGATCTGGAGAATGGGGTTAACCAACAATGACTATAGTAAAAGAACTTCCTATATAATAATCATATTGCAATCTTCTAAATACAAAGTGCAGCAGAGGCCTGCTGTTATGACCGGCATAGGGGCTTAGCCCAGTGGGTTATGGCCCAAGTATCTTAATTAGGGGCTTAGCCCAATTATCTTATCGTATTAGTATCGTTTGCTTAGGAGTCAAGTAAACCTCTCTCTATAAGGAGAGGAGATGTATCAATCTAATCAAGCAAGAAGCAATCAATATTTGCTCGGCTTCCCTTAGGGAGCCGGGAGACCTAAACCCTAGATGCCTCCTGCTTTCGCCGCCGCTGCTCCCGTCGCAAGGATGGCGCCACGCCGCCGGCCGCCACGCACCAGCCCTCGCCCTCCCCCCTCCTTCCCCTACAACCTACGCCCTAGATCCGGTAGGGCCCTAGCTCTTACCAATTTGGTAACTAGAGACTTGGGTCCGATCATGTCTTCGTCAACACCATCGCCGCCGCTGCCCGCCTCCACCTCCGCGCCGATGACCACCGCGCCGATGACGTCCACCCCGATGACCACCGCCGAGGTCTCCACGCTGTCGGGCCCGGTCACCACCGCGGGCTCCTCACCGCCGCCGGCACCCATCACGTCCGCGCCGCCGCCGACCACCGTCTTCACGCCGGAACAGATGACCAGCACGCTGCGGGATCTCGTGACGGCCGTCCAAGGGCTCCACCTCAACCAGTACCACTAGTATATGGTTGGGCCGTACGCACCTCCGCCGGCTGCGCCGATCACCGCCTACGGTCACCCCACGCTGCCATGGCCGTCCCAAGGCGCGCCTACCTACAGCGGGCAGCCGCTGCTGCCGTTCCAGGCGGGCTCCCCTGCGCTGCCGTGGCCGTCCCAGGGCGCGCCTGCCTACAGCGGGCAGCCGCTGTTGCCGTTCCAGGCAGGTCCCCCTGTGCTGCCGTGGCCGGCCCAGGGCGCGCCGGCCTGCACCAGGTTGCCGCTACTGCCGTTCCAGGCGGGGCACCCTGGCGAGACCACTCCGGCCGCGGCTCCTCTGTGGCATCTCCCGCCGCCGCCAGCTGCGGCTCCCCTATGGCATCTGCAGCCGCCTTCCCCCGTGGCAACCACGCACCCGCCCACCCTCCACAGCCGACGCTGCAACCACCGGCGCCACCTCTGCCCAGCTCAGGGGCGTCCTCGCCGGCCGGCCTTTTGATACATCAGGTCCGGTTTCCGGCCTCCCCGTCGCCACTAACAGCTTGGGCGGCTGGGTCTTCGCCATCGCCGGTCTACACCACGGCTCCGGAGCAGCCGACCCCGTTTTCGCAGTTCGGCGGGCCATCCAGCTCCGCGGGTCCTTACCCGGAGTACTCCGACCAGGCGCCACCCGCCTCGCTGCTCCGCACCTTCGAGCCAGCTCGACACGGCGCTCCGACCCAGACACCGCCGCGGTTCGCCAAGATCGACTTCGCCACCTATGACGGCATGGAGGACCCCCTCAACTGGGTCAACCAGTGTGACTAGTTCTTTCGCGGGCAGCGCACCCTCGCCTCGGAGCGCACCTGGCTCGCCTCTCACCACCTCCGCGGCGCGGCACAGACCTGATACTACGCCCTCGAGCAGGACGAGGGCAGCATGCCCCCTTGGGAGCGCTTCCGCGAGCTCTGCCTCCTTCGTTTTGGGCCCTCGATCTGCGGGAGCCGCCTGGCGGAGCTAGGCCGCCTTCCCTTCACCTCCACGGTTCAGGACTTCGCCGACCGTTTCCAGGCCCTGGCATGCCATGCGTCGGGCGTGACGGCGCAGCAGCGGGCCGACCTCTTTGACGGTGGACTTCCGGATCACATCCGCGTGGATGTGGAGCTTCGGGGACCCCAGGATATCCAGACGGCCATGTACTATGCTCGCGCGTTCGAGCGCCGCGCGGTGGCCGTCCAGCAGGAGTCACTGTCCCGGGCCACTGGGTCGTTACCCTGGCCAGATCCCGCTTAGGGTCGGCCTGCTCAGTCTTCCGCGGCACCCCTCGCCGCGACCGCGGCTCGCCCGTTCCGCCGGCTCACCTCGGCCGAGCTACTCGAGCGTCGCCGCCAAGGGTTGTGCTTCAACTGCGACGAGCCCTACACGCCCGGCCACGCCTGCCCGCGACTCTTCTACCTGGAGGTTGCAGACTACATTCCGGAGGACGCCGTCGCCGCCGACCTTGCCGCCCCAGCTGTCGCGGAGGTGTTTGACGCTGGTTGATCACCTCGAGGAGTTCAGCAAGCGCTTCCCCACCTTACAGCTCGAGGACGAGCTGTTTGTGCAGGCGGGGAGAAGTGTTATGACCGGCATAGGGCTTAGCCCAGTGGGTTATGGCCCAAGTATCTTAATTAGGGGCTTAGCCCAATTATCTTATCGTATTAGGATGTTTGCTTAGGATTCAAGTAAACCTCTCTATATAAGGAGAGGAGATGTATCAATCTAATCAAGCAAGAAGCAATCAATATTTGCTCGGCTTCCCTTAGGGAGCCGGGAGACCTAAACCCTAGACGCCTCCTGCTTTCGCCGCCGCCGCTCCCGTCGCAAGGACGGCGCCACGCCGCCGGCCGCCGCGCACCAGCCCTCGCCCTTCCCCCTCCTTCCCCTACAACCTACGCCCTAGATCCGGTAGGGCCCTAGCTCCTACCACCTGCCAAGCTTTAGGAAAAGGTCTAAGTAAAGCCGTTTCATTGTCGTTTAAGCCATCACCTCCAGTCCCTTACCAAGTCACCTGTTGGACTGTATTGCCGTGGTGGCTCGTTGTTGCAAAATATAACTAATTTCCACTGTACAACTAAGCACCATGATGCCTTACATAAATGCTGTGCATGTGTGTTTGTTTTTTGCAGGCCTAACTGGGAAGGAGGTCGCTATGATGGTGATGATGCCACTAGATTTGAAACACTCTGTTTAGCTATGGAACTAGGTGTAGACTATGTTGACATCGAGTTAAAGGTTTGTTTACACATTGGAAATTTTCTGATGCTCACCATTTTGTGAATACTGGATAATGCAATATGGACAAATTCTGTGGATACATGTCAATGTCATGTTAGTTTGCACAAGACATTCATGATTAAACTTGTCCCTAAACGTAGATTAGTAAAAAAAAACAAGTATTACATATGGAAAGAAACTCTGTTTTGTTCTCTTTCTACCACTGATGATACAATGGTTTTGCTACTAGATTTGTTAGCTGGTGTGTTAGATAATCATATGGATACTCTCATGGCCAACATATTTTGCTATGTTGCAGGTTGCTGACAAATTTGTTGATTTTCTTTCTGGTAATAAGCCAGATAAGTGTAAACTTATTGTTTCTTCACATAATTATGAAAGTACCCCATCCTGCGAGGAGCTTGCAAATCTTGTAGCCAGAATACAAGAAGTTGGAGCTGACATAGTTAAAGTTGCAACAACTGCTACAGACATTGTTGATGTGTCAAGGATGTTCCAAGTGATGGTGCACTGCCAAGTAAGTGACAGTTTCTAGAATCCAAGAAAGATTTCACTATTTCCTCCCAGAAACTTGTGTCTGTCTTGTATATTCAGTCCTTATGTCTTTTGATTGAACTTGGCCTTCTCAATATTGAAGATGTGCTCCGTAGAACTTGAAAGTTAACTATTGCCCATTGCTGTTAAAAAAATTGAATCTCTACAGTTGTGCTTCAGTTAAGCCAGATGAACAGCACCCACCTGTATGTACTGTGCAAGAATTAGTTGGTCCATTTCCCTGTATGTTCAAATAATAGTTTATTCAATATAGAATAGAATATCGAAGAAAAACAAGCTAGCTGTCTTAATTTGTGAAATTTTCCCTGTCCTTACTTTATTAACTAGCTACCTTTGTGTCCATCCGGTTTGTCTGCTGAACACGGTATTTTGGCAAATACGGTATCATTTTTTTTGTAAATACAATACTTTTAGTAATAATAAATGCATTATCAAAATATTTTGGTATGATCGTCGTAAATACCATATTTACCAAAGTTGACATGGACATTGAATTACAATAGTCAATAATCACATATTTACATGTCACTACTCTCTAACCCATTGGTATGTTTATTTAGTAATTGTAAGTTAATAAGCGTCCATGGTGTTAATGCCATAATATAATTAGTTCTACAGTTTTTTTCTCAAATTCAAGTGATAATGACAGTAGTTTCTGCTATTTTCTCAACTACTATTACTTATAATCAGCAAATTAGCACTTTCCATCTTGAAAGAATTAATATCCTACAGAGAACAAGAGTTAATGTACTCAACAGCTGTTTCATATAATCCTTTATCTCTGCTAATTTAGATTTGCACCCAGCGGCATATGCTCTCGGGCTAAAGATATAATTGCCAAATTTTTAAAATTACTGATGGTAATGTCTGTACTTTCTGCACGTACAAATTTCGTGAAAACTTGCATTTTTGTGGCCTGGGTGAAGAAAATAAATCTGGGGACCAAAAGATATAATCTGCTATTTTTTCGATCTTATTATTCATTTATCTTGGCTTTAAAGCTTGATATTATTGATCAGAAGCCAAACATCAGTTTGGCTAATTGCAATCTGATGTGCACTTACATGCTAAGGATTTAAGTTACATGATTTATTAATTCATGCCGGCCTATACATTGCCATTTCACTGATTAATAGAAATGACAGGTGCCTATGATTGGATTGGTGATGAGTGAGAGAGGTTTGATGTCAAGGGTGTTATCCCCAAAATTTGGTGGATATCTTACCTTTGGAATACTTGATGCTACTAAGACATCAGCATCTGGGCAACCAACACTTGAAGAATTATTGGACATTTACAATATAAGGTGTATAGGACCTGATACAAAAGTTCTTGGTCTTATAGCCAACCCAGTAAAGCAGAGCAAGAGCCCAATTTTGCACAATAAATGTCTACAGTCTGTTGGATACAATGCTGTTTATCTTCCACTTCTGGCAGACGATCTTGCTAGATTTCTTGACACATATTCATCTCCAGATTTTTCAGGATTTAGGTACTAATTCTAATTCAGCAAAGTAGAAAAAGAATACATTACTAATCTGTAGGATTGCTTAGAATGAAATGATTATTTTGCTATGATCTTGATGAGCACGTGGCTGTGCATATTGGAAATAATCCCTGAAAGACTGAGAAATCTATCAGAGGTTCCCACCACATCAGATCTCATAATTGTTCACTTGTGCATTTGTATAACTGTATCACTAGCTATGCATATCCCCACTTTTGCCCTTTTAATGTGTTTTTTCATCATCTTTCCTTTTTCAAGTTCAAACATTCTTAGCATGCTTAATAAACACTGATCTGCGTGGTTTGTGCAAGGTAGCTAACACAAGGAGTGAACTAGAGAACGAGCTATTATGGTTCTTAGATAGGAGGTTTATGCCGTGCCGGGGGAGATACTCTTGGGCAGATGAGTTGCTGGCCGGCAGGTGACGCCCCATCTGCTATGAGAGAGGTAACGGGGTAGAGGAGACAACAGGAGATTAGGAACCAGACCTTCGTTGAAGCCTTACACGTGACTCGACTTGGAACACAACTAGAATTCAGACTCTTACCTGCATATACTCAATCAAACTATTCAAGTACGAACTGACTATTCCATTAGGGATCAATCCTAACTAGAAGACAACTCAAAAGGGAACTTGCCTTGCTCTGCTGCAGCCTGACCATTAGCGATCATCTTCAGCTGTACCTTCCCACTGAACAAGCACATGCTTGACATCACGACGTAGGCTTACACCGAGGATCTTGGCTGGCTGCATGATCACCTTGCCGTCTTCCACACGAGGCAGTGAGGAGGTCTTAGCCAGAGGGTCACCATGGAATTTCTTCAGAAGACTAACATGAAAGACATCATGTCGGTTTGTACCTGGAGGGAGTTCCAGACGGTATGCTACTGACCCTATATACGCTCCAATACCTTGAATGGTCCATAGTATGTGGGAGCGAGCTTCCCGCGCACATGCTCTGCCAAGGATTCTACTGTTCTGCAGCGTAGTCACTACCAAGCTCATTCTCCCATCTCAAACAAGAGTTCCCGGTGATTATCATCATATAACTCTAGCATATTGCTGGGCTTGCAGGATGTGTCCCCGGACATCCTGGAGGAAGGCATTGCGGTCCCGTAGAGCTGAATCCACTGAGGCACTGACTCAGTGTTGGCTGCACCAGGTGTTTAATCCAACAAGGAAGAGTATTTGTTGGCGTAAAACCTGGAAAACAGCATGTAGGTGGTGAAGGTGCTCTAACCAGGATGAGCTATAAACCAATATATCATCAAACAATACAAGTACGAATCGACAGAGGAATGGTCGAATGATATCATTCATCAAAGCTTGGAATGCCGCCAGAGCATTAGTCAGGCTGAATGGCATGACAAGTTACTCATAATGGCCATTGTGGCTATGGAAGGCTGTCTTGGCGATTTCGTCGGGGTGCATGCACACTTGATGGTAGCTAGAGCGATGGTCGAGCTTAGTGAAAAAGCACGCATCTCGAAGCTCATCCAACAAATCGTTGACAATAGGAATCTGGGACTTACGGTTGATCGTGTATTCATTCATGGCACGTTAGTTGACTCATAATGGCCATTGTGGCTATGGAAGGCTGTCTTGGCGATTCGGGGTGCATGCACACTTGATGGTAGCTAGAGCGATGGTCGAGCTTAGTGAAAAAGCACACATCTCGAAGCTCATCCAACAAATCGTTGACAATAGGAATCGGGGACTTACGGTTGATCGTGTCTTCATTCATGGTACGTTAGTTGACAAAAAAACAGCATGAGCCATCTTGTTTGTTGGTTGCCCTGGAATTCCTTAAAGTATTTTTGCTTATTTGTAGTTCATTGTTGACCTGGATTTCGAGATTCTCCGGCCAATAGAAGTAAGAAGTAAGAGCACTAATGTAGAATACTTCATGGAGTTAAATTTGGTTTAAATTCATAAATAAGAATGTGTAGACACACTATTCATTTATTGGAATGAATCTAATCTGAAAGATGGACTCTTGCGAAAGTTACATACATGCATGGTAAAAAATTCTTATAGAGCATCAACTATAAATATATCATGTAATTTAAAACCATGCATCACTTCTCTTATTCTTTTAGTTAGTAACTAGGCGATGATCCAGCAAAAGTTACACAAACGGGTGCTAAATACTGAAGTTTTCTGTTATGTACAATATTTTTTTTTTTGAACTGGCACAATATAGAACACGAAGACTGGATGAAGAACACAACATCAAGGAACAGAACTAAGAAAGGAAATCAAGGGAAGGTAATCGTTTTACTTCATCAGTAAGTATGAGTCAGATCATCCCAAAATATCAGAATCTAAACCATTAAGCATAAGAAGAATGCTAGGATATGAAGCACTGAAGAATTAAGTAGGTACCTCTCTCTAAAATCTATAATGACTGTATTTCTCTTAGACTGTTTGTGGAGAGTGTGTAGCTCTAGGACAGACCCTGCTTCTTTGCTACTGTACGTAAAAAAGAACTGATTTTCTAAAGATGTAAATTCAATACTTCGACATAACAAAAGGATCACTTGTGATATAGGAACTCCAGGATAACAGCCTTGCTAGTCATGCTAAGAATTGAACAGTAACTCTGTCCATGTGTGCCTGAGCTTACTACCTACCAAGGCATTTGAGATTTACAATCCACCAAGCAAGGTAACCATGTATTGCTAGGTCCTGGCTACACCTTTCAAATTTACAAGAAAACATGACACAAAAAGTAAATAGATAAAAATGCATGGACTGATAGATAACTCCAAATTTTCAGCAACCCATTGCTTGAAAAAACATTGATGTTTGTAATACCCTGATCGAGGAAGGGGATCAGCGATCCAGAGAGAGGTGAGGGGATGAGCTTGGGGAAGGGGTTGAGATTTCAGAGGAAAGGTTGAGAGTACAGAAAGTGTTTTCCACACGCATGTCTCGCCCACTGACGGCCGGGAGCACCCCAAAGGGAGAGCAACTGCAACTCGCAACCTCACGCGGACCTGTGGAGTCCGCCTCGCAAAAGAATGCCGGACACCGTGTGCGCTCTATTCCTAGGGAGCTTAGAAAATTTAGTTACTAGAAGACAACTCGAAGGGCAACATGCCCTTGCTCTTCTGCAACCTAACCAGCCCCAGGTTGGGCTTTGCACCTTGTGTAGGGAATACCCCACATAACACGAGCAGTACCTCAGAAAACCAGAACTCTTGCACTCCTATAAAATCAATTTCTAGAAAGTCATTTCAGCCCTTTTCATTGGCACATTTCACAAGAGCAATTTTGTTTTACACCATTTGACTTTGTGTAATGCAGTTGCTCTCTTCCTTTCAAAGTGGATGCAGTACATTGTTGCCATGAACATGATGCTGTTGCTAAGGTACCTGGATGCACTGTACTTCTTTTGTGTCTACTTCATTAATTAGCTTCCACTTTCTCTTTGTTTGACCTGCTATTTTGTTGTGTTAATCTGCAGTCAATAGGTGCCATAAACACTATAGTTAGGAAATCAGATGGCAAATTAGTGGGCTACAATACAGACTACATTGGAGCAATTTCTGCTATTGAGGATGGCATAGGAGGTTTTAGCAATCTTAATTGATTCCCTTTTAACAGTTATTTGGGAGTCATGCACAAATATCACATGATTTATGTTCCACAGGTCTGGGGTCAAAGGATGCTGCTATGTCACCATTGTCTGGCAGGCTTATTGTTGTTGTAGGTGCTGGTGGTGCTGCTAAGGCAATTGCCTATGGGGCAAAGAAGAAGGGTGCAAGAGTTGTAGTAGCAAATCGTACCTATGGTAAGATTTGTATTTATCCGATTTGAAATTCATATTCATACGGTCTTGATATTTTGGGCCCACATGTTTGGAAAATGAAGGGTCGGGACATGTTATCATTGTCGCCAATCCCTTGGTGACGCTGACTAGGCTTCCTGACAAGCATCCAACTCTATTGCACAGAGCAATTGGTTGCACCCATGTTTTAATTCCCAACGACCAAATCCAGTGCCATGTCGTGTTATGATTAGAGCGCGCCAACCTTAGTGCAATGGATCGTTGTTTATCGTGATTTCGCCCTTCTCCTGATATCTTCACCTCTTATTGAGCTTCATGTTAAAATTTAACTGTTAGCAATATAGATAGTTAGCTTTTAGTTGCACCTAACCCTAGATTATCCTCCTAACAATATGTTATTTTGATTGTATGGTGGTTGTACCAATTGCGTGTGCATCATGCCATGTGCAGTGTTCCCCAGCTCTCTATCACATGATATCAACAACAACAACAACAACAACAACAACAACAACAACAACAACAACAAAGCCTTTAGTCCCAAACAAGTTGGGGTAGGCTAGAGGTGAAACCCATAAGATCTCGCAACCAACTCATGGTACATGGATAGCAAGCTTCCACGCACCCTTGTCCATAGCTAGCTCTTTGGTGATACTCCAATCCTTCAGGTCTATCTTAACAGACTCCTCCCATGTCAAATTCGGTCTACCCCGCCCTCTCTTGACATTCTCCGCACGCTTTAGCCGTCCGCTATGCACTGGAGCTTCTGGAGGCCTGCGCTGAATATGCCCAAACCATCTCAGACGATGTTGGACAAGCTTCTCTATCACATGATATCAAATTAGTTAAATCCAACCTAGCATGGTTTCCCGCCATGACTGCCGCTGCTGAGTCCGCAACCACCATACGTGCTCTCAGCCTCTCCACCATGTCCTCACTCGGGCGTTGCTACCATCCCCCTCATGCATGTCCAAGCCTAGCCCCCCGCTACCTATTCCAGTTGTGTTTGACGCCTCTAATTATTCAAACTCTGGATGTTCTTCCTTGAGTTCCTTGGCGGTCAGGCTTGTCACTGTCAAGCTTGCCTCCGGCGACGCCACTCCCGTGCCTTCATGCTCGGTTCGCGTTGGTGCTCTTGTGCTTTGTCCTAGGATTGACCCGCATCATGAGGTCTCTTGCAAAGGACGGTATTGTCGTCTTGGTGAACTGTCTAATCATCCATTGAGATCGCCGTCGTCTTACCTGTGCCAAGTCCTACCGCAGTACTCTCGGGACCCTCATTGGCGCCACACCATGACCAAAGCGCGCTGCTTTAGAAGGGCAGGTGGTCGCTCCTTTCGCTCGGTACAAAGCGCTTTGGATCATCAAAGGCTTAGCCGGTGGGTCGACTATGACGAGACCTTTAGTCTTGCCATCACCGCGGTTGACCAAACCTGGGGATGGTTTTCGTATAACCGGGTGTATTGGTTCAGTTTAATCAAGTGGGCTTCTTTGGTTTGGTCGCTAATGGATTGTATCTGCTAACAGTTTGGTTGGGTTCAATTTCATGTGAATAATAGGTGGGTGTGATCAGGTATGGGCTTGAACCGTTCTATTTCCAACCAAGCTCAACCCGTGGTTCCAAACCGGTTCCTGAGATTGGTTCGAACTTCGTAGGTATGCTCGACAACTCGCTCTTTCCCTGTTCCTATAGCCGCCGCCGCCACCTCTCCCCGTCCCGGCGTTCCCGCCCACGCGATGCTGAACCGCAGTGCCGCATCAAAGGAGAGTCGTCCAGCGGCGCCGGCGGCGTCGACACCCTCGTGGGAGCAGCTGAAGATCATGCTCAGCTCGGGACTCGGAGGCGCGACGGCGGCCGCGCGCATGCACGACCCACCGCACTGACAAGAACGGGCGGCGTCGGCGCCTGAGGTGCATCGCTCTGCTTGACCACTGCCCCACTCAACCACTCCTTTACAAGCTGTTCACAAAGGCAGAGAGATGGGAGCAGCACCAGGCCATTTGCCATGAACGTAGGAGGCAACATGGTATGGAACTGTTATTTACCCATTGGCTAAAACCATGGTTTCAACCATCGGCTCAGTTTAGTTTAGGTGGAGTGAGGACGTGGTTCAGTATGGTTTGGGTTTAAATAAAAATTAAAGAGGTTTAGTTAGGTTCGGTTTGCCCAAATTGATCATGCGGGTTCAATTGAGGTTTAGTTCAGTTCCCCAACCGTTCTCAGATTTACGGTTGAGCCATTTGGCAACTAGACATCAAGAATACCTTCGTCAATGTCACCATTGACGAAGAGGTTTACCGCAAGCAGCCTTCTAGCTTCGTCGTTCCATTGCGATCTAACCATGTTAGCAGGCTACACTGCTCTCGGTACGGTTTGAAACAAACACCTTTCGTGTGGTATCAACGCTTCACATCCCACCTTTGCCAGCCTCATTCCCGATATGTCTTTGTTTGTTCTAACTAATTTGCATCCAACTTATTATTTGGATTACTTGACTTTCCCATGACTCGGTTCTCTTATATCATCCTCGCTAATTTGGAACTAGGCCTTGGAACAGTCAAGCAATCCTCATCTAGATGCTTGTAGCAATTTAGCTCCCGGGCTCAATGGATCCCGATATTTTGGGAAATATGAAAAATATATTGGGAAATACGAAAAATATATTTAGAACTTTCAAAAAATTCCAATTTTTCTCCATGGATGTGTTCTACATATCTGTAAAGTTTTATTAAAAAATACATTAATTTATTGGCTACACAAAAGGATGAATTTATAGCTCCAAAAACCAAAAAGTTTCTCTATTTGATCCACATATTTGTCTATGTTATGTACAACACGGTTGGTAAGATATGGATGAAAAGTTGTGCGTAAATATTGCACATATGTAAACTAGCTAAATACCCGTGCTGATGTAGGGTGGAAACCCTAGGGGCCGATCTTTCATGATTGGAGCAGATCCTACGAAGAACACAAAGAACACGAGGGGGAAAACACGAGGGGAAGGAGAGGAATCACTCAAATCAACAAGAAACAATCACACATGTGCTAGATCCAAGTACCCATAGAGATCACACGGTCCAAATCCAACAAAGGACGATACAGACGGTAACTAGTTCATCTCCGTGAGGAGGTCTTGAGGGGTCATCCCATGAAGGGGTCTTGAATCCAAGGTGGATCTTCTCCGAAGAGGGAGCGGAGCGGTCTCTCCCGATGGAGTAGATCCGGATGGATGAGTAAAGCTCTATCTCAAATGAGCTAAACCTATGCTAACCCTATCTAGTAGGAGGAGGAGGTCTATTTATAGTCTTAGTGCAAATGGGGGCGAAGTGAAGGGGTACATGGGCCTCGGGCCCGAAACTGTGCGCAGACAGGTACCGGACGTCCGGTGGGTTACGGTCGTCTGGTGGCTCGTGGGCGTTCGGACGTCCGGTAGTCTTTGGACTTCCGCTGCTTCTGGCTCGATGGAGGTGGCACCGGATTTTCGAAGATGGCCGGTCGTTCGGTCGCGTCGGACATCCGCTGTTTTGGCTCGGGTGCGGGGACGTCAGATGTTCGCTCGCTGTAGCTTGCATTGGCCGGGGCCTGTGCGGGCTGGGGCTTCGGGTGCCGGACGTCCGGCCCTGACCGGTCGTCCGGTGGCTGTAGCTTCAGTGGCAGCTCTTCTTCTTGTCCTTGGCACTTGGTGTCCTCGCCGTTTTGTCCGTTGGATGTAGCTGCTCCTTGGCTTTCCTCCAAGTACATGATTACA